ATAATAACCCTTTGAAATTTTTTATAATAAATTTTGCCGAATGAGTGTATTTATGTATTTTATATTCATTATAAATACTGTAAAATAAAAAATATTACACTTACTTTAGAAAATGATTCCGCTCTTCATCGAAATTTATTTTTTCTTTATATTCTTCGTCAATCGTATCTTTCAATTTATCTTCAAGCTAAATTAACATTTACGTTTAAAATAATAATAAACCAAATTTAAATACACGCACCCATATAATCAAATAATAAATATATACCTGTGAAGTTGTAACATAACAATAATCTGCAGTATTAATTATAAAACATATCAATTTTAATTCATCACGTGTTATTGCACGGCGTTCTTCCCTATAATGAATTACGTTAAACTTTAATGGATTAAAACGAATTTTATACAAAATTATAAATACATACTTCGGAAGCCTTCCTATTAAAACTTCACTCGCATATAGACGAAGCCATTTGGCAAACATATTACATAAATCATAAAAAGGTTGCCGTGTTGATAATTTTGCGCAATTTGCGAGTGTTTCACGATAAAAGTAGAATAAATCTATGCTTGATTGTAACACCGATGTTGAAACATCTTCATCTGGAATTGTTTCCATATGATAGGAGTTAATCATTCCTGACAATGTACTATAATATAATGATTAGTATAATCGAACTTAATAAAAACTTATTAATAAATAAATGTAAATCGTACCTATCCTCTGCTTCAATATAGAGACCTAAGTAAGGTTCAAATGCTGTGGATAGGGTTTTACTAAAATTATATGGTTCGTGATCCACATTGGATGGTTGATATTTATTCTGAAAAATTTATTTATCAGATAAACTGTGGCTCTTAATTGCAACTAGTATACTATATAAAATATTACCGTGTTTGAAAATCGTTTTGTCAGTTGATTCTCGAACTCAAGGGTCAGTTGTAAATTTTTGAGTAAAGTCTTTACATCCAATTCATTTGTCTTTGAAAGTGTTTTTACTAAATCTTCCCTAATAAAAATTTTATTAAGCTAAACAAAATAACAAATAATATCAATATATATATATATATATTACACATACCTAACGATTTCACAAAATTGAATACTTAGGAATTCACTTAATCGCCAATTAGCAGGAAATACTGCTGCATGTTTTTCATCGTAATTTTTAAGAACTCTTTTAAGCCATGCATATCTTCTAGATGTATTTTCCAAAGAAGCAATCTATTATGTATAAAAAGTTTCAATTACGAATTTATAAATTCTAATAAATAATCTTTTAATATTTTTAACACCTCATCACTTGCTCGAAATATTTTCTTGTAATCGTTTAATTGCTTCTCACAATACCATTTCATTAGCTGTGATCTAACGAGTTGTAACAATTAATTCATTTTATTTATTTATACTTTAAAATCTGTTTATGACACAACCAATAATTTAATGTTTTAGCTACCTGACATCTAAACCCATAATGTCAATTACTAGACAGGCATCAGCCAAAAGTGCCGTTTGACTGCTGAAACCTCCATCCGTTGTAAAACTAATAAACCCCAAAAAATATCAGAAAAATTATTTAAAAATATATATATTAATCGACAATTATTGTACCTAGACTCAAAATCATCAAAAATCTGCTTCTTTAAATCATTTTGGAATGTAGTCACTGAAGATGATAATTCCGCTATTCGTTTAATACTCTTATAACTTTTAAAATATAAACTAAGTTGTAGAACTGCCTATTAATTGAAGAATGTATATTAGCTAACATTATTAATTAATAACTTTTTTTAAAGCATATATATATGTATTACTTGTAAAAGTTGAGATGTTTCTTTGTATTGTTTCATCTGTGCCATTATTTTCAATTGATTTACGGCAGTAACTTTTAAATAGCACAAATAGTACAAAATTAATAAAAACGTGCTTCTTAAAAAGATTATCAACGTAAAATTCACATCAAAATTAAAGGTTGTTTTAATTCACCAAGCATTTGTAGTCTTTTTAAAGCAGTAATCGAAATTGTCAAATGCTTCTTAGCATAATCTAATGATTTAATATCCTTGGTAATCTCTTGCACCATTGTTTCAGATTGCGAAGCTTTCTCCTTAATTTGTCTTATTCTATCAAAAAGTTCCTATATAAAATAGAGATTGGTTTAAACTCATCTAATATAAGATAATTCTCATCTATATTTAAATAACAAACCCAACCTCTATTGCTCTCTTAGCCTCAGCGACTTCTTCTGGTCCTCGTTGTCCTCCATCAGTTTGCATCCTAGAAAGTTCTTTGATCTCCCCACTCAATTGTCGCATTTTTGCTTGAAGCTTTTTAGCTGTTACGTCAACAGTAGCCAATGCTTGCTCTATTTTTCATATTAAACGGAAAATATCATTATAGCATTTAATTCCTTTTCCTTCAATTTGAATTAATCCAAAAATTAAGAGTACAAATATACCATTTGGAAGCATTTGATTAAGATACTCTATTGGATTAAAATCATTACTATCTAAAGGATCATTGGTTTGAAGTATTTGAGAAATTGAAGCCTCTAGCTCGGGTGGAAATTTAATTATATTATTAAGATCTTCTTGAAATTCTTCATTCTCATTATCTTCATTATCTATATTTTCTATGGTATCTGTAGAAGATTTCATATTTTTTTTTTTTTATATCAGCAAAAAAAAAAAAAAAAAAAAAAAAAAATTCTGCAAAACTTAATTTATATATATTCGGTTTTGGTTTGTTACAGGGTTCAAAATTACAATTTTACGCACATACATATGATCTGCATCATACTGTTATATTTTGATGTAACACAAACATTATATATTGTAAATATAAACAAGATCTTCAGTTATAAATATGACATAAGCAAATTGTCAACGTTTTTTATAACCCTACTCTCCTTTTTTTTTCTACATTAAAAAAAAAAAAAAAAAAATGACAATATCATCATTATTTTTACCACAGGAAACTATTGACGAAATTCTTTTACACGTTCAACATGATAAACATTCTTTATATTCATGTCTACTTGTAAATCGATATTGGTGTAGACGAGTAATTCCATGGCTTTGGGGTCATCCCCTGAAAATTCTATCGGCTCTTGAACCTGCTAATATTGCACCCCTCATCAGAACTTACATTTCTTGTCTTTCGGAAAAGGAGAGATCTTTATTAATTCAATGTGGAATAAATTTACCAAACTCTTCTCCACCTTTCTTTAATTATGCATCATTTCTTAAAGACCTTGATTATCGTAGATTAGAAATTTCTGTACGTCATTGGATCAAATATGAAGGAACTTGTGGAAATTATCCAACAAAACGTAGAATTATTGCTGGAATTTCTTTAAATAATGCTTCTATAGTAGTTATGACTGCTCTTTGCAAATTATTCTTGGAGGGTGATCCAACACTTCATCATCTTAAATTAGCTTATACTGAACGTATCTTGGATTTACCGGATATTTCTGTATTTACTCAAGGTCGTTATGGTTTATCTTGTTTACAAAAGATCAAATTTATTGTTGGATCTTTTAATCGAACAAAACTTAAAAATATGATTACTTTCTTGGAAGCTCTACCTGATATTGCTCCAAATGTCTCTCATTTAGATATAGATGTTATCACAACTGATAAGACTATGTCTGATACTTTAGTCTCTATAATTGAAGGCCTTTCTTATCTTTCGGAATTTAGATTATGTGATAAAAGTAGTGGAGTTACTCAAGTTATAGAACCAACTATTTCTGCATTAAATAGTCGTGCAAATTCTTTAACATCTTTGGAACTTCATAATATTCACTTTCAAGATTTATCTTTACAAGGATTAGCTGAATGTAAAAAACTTGAAGTACTTCTTATAATTCAATGTTGTTGTTTAACATTAACAACATGGAAACCATTAGAAAATGCTAAATTTCCTTTAAAAACTTTATATTTGGATAGTGATTTTGGTGAAAAAGTCACAATAGCAATTTTACAATCTACAAGCAATCGATCTATCAAACAATTACATCTTAGTTGTGCAACTAATAAAGTAATAGAAATTTTACCTATATCATGTCCATCTTTATCTCATCTTGACGTTTGTGTAAGCAACGTTAGTATCGAACAATTAGTTACTATGGTATCTGGTATTCAACAATTACAATATCTTGCAATTATGGAATATGGTGGACATAATCCAAAACTTGTTGAAGTTACACCGGATTTAGGAAAAATTTTTACACCTTTATTACATTATTTAGAATTAAATTTTATAATGACATTTGAACAATTAGATGCATTATTAACACATTGTAAAGCACCTTTAGAAACTTTGATATTAAATCAATATTTTGAAAATCATCAAATGGCTGATGAATATTTTGCTGCTATAGCAAAATTTGCAAAAGAACGTGGAACTCTTAAAAGACTTTGTGTTAATAATGATGGAATTAAAACTATTAATTGTAATCAAAAATCGGTTATTGTTCAAGATTTATTAAGATATGTTAAAATATTATCTTATAGTGATGCAAGTGTTAAGATTTGTGAACAAAATTAGTTTCACGACAATTATATACATTTAGTTGTATGAAAAAAAAAAAGAATTCTCATTCTCTCTCTCTTTTTTTTTTGTTTTCTTTATCAATTTTGGCATTAGTTTTTTTTTTTTTTTTTTTTTTGAAAAATTCTCGTCATGTTTTTTTTTTTGATTTCAATTTTTTTTTTTTTCAAATATTAAAACAAAAATAGAGCATATAAAAATTTTAGATGTATTTTTTTTTTAAAAAAAAATTTTTTTTTGACGTTAAAAATTATTCGTTTAAAAATTATTCGTTCATATGTATATACTGTACAGTACGTACTTGAACAATTTCTCTTGTCTAAATGTTGGTTGTATAACATGGTTGTACTTTTAACTCTAGTCAAATTTGCAAATCATTTGACCAGATAAAAAACTGAATTTGGCCGAATTATCTTCAAATTTGACTAGAGTTATGAGTAATCACAATCAAAATTAGTCTATAATAATGCCGGCTGTCTATAATAATATCATTGTCTAAAATAATATCATCTAAAATAATAAAAATATACTCCACATATCATCTGACTTTAAACGAATTGTCAAAGCATACGACATATATATTCTGAAACTACTCCTTT